TCACCCCCCCTCACCCCCTTCTTTTTCTGTCCTTGGAAAATGGTGTCCAAGCTCACGTCGCTCCAGCAAGAACTCCTGAGCGCCCTGCTGAGCTCCGGGGTCACCAAGGAGGTGCTGGTCCAGGCCTTGGAGGAGTTGCTGCCATCCCCGAGTTTCGGGGTGAAGCTGGAGACGCTGCCCCTGTCCCCTGGGAGCGGGGCCGAGCCGGACACCAAGCCGGTCTTCCATACTCTCACGAACGGCCACGCCAAGGGCCGTCTGTCCGGGGACGAGGGCTCCGAGGACGGGGACGACTATGACACCCCTCCCATTCTCAAGGAGCTGCAAGCCCTCAACACCGAGGAGGCGGCGGAGCAGCGGGCGGAGGTGGACCGGATGCTCAGGTAGGCGCGGACCGAGGTGCGGAGTGTGCGCCCGAGCCCCTTGGGCCCCCGGCCTTGTGCCTGAGCGACACTGCGCTCGACCGCTCTTGCCAAGCCTGGTTCCCACCAGAGAAGTCCCCCGGGGGGCTCTCCGCTTCTCTCCCAACACCTGGACCCCTCCAAATCCCTCAACTGGACGGCTCGAGCCCCGAGGCTTCAGGAACGCCTGCCCAGGCCAGCGCCCGGGACCCGCGGGGCCCTCCCGACCGGGCTGGGGCTCGGCCTGGGAGAACCCGAGCTGCGGGGCCCTTTGCCCGGAGGTTTGCCCACGCGGCGGAAGGTGCGAGTGGGCGCAGTGAAACCGCTGCGATTCCCAGGAGACCAGGCTCGGGCCCGCATCAGCCCCAGGCCAAGCCTTTCTCCGAGGTACCGCCTCCGCGGTCCGGGGAAACGCCGCCGGCCTGGGACACGGCGTCCTGCCGCTCTTGGCAGAGGGACAGGCAGCACCCGGGCCGGGATCGGGGGGCGACTTCTCTGGAGTCCCATTTGCAGCGCCCGTGCAAGACCCCAGGGCTATCCGGAATCCCCAAAGCCCGTTTAGATTCGCGAAAGGAAATGTTTGCACGTTGTCAGCTTAGGGTGGATCCTCAAGCGGCAAAAGAAACCACATCACTAAGCAAGCGAGGGGGAAATGCGGCCAAGACCCCAGTTCGCAGCGGATTTGGTGGGAGAAAGGAGGGCGTTTCCGGATCTCGCCGCCGACACCCCGGCGTCCCTGGGGAATCCAAGCAGGCTGGCGGGAGGTCTATCTCCCGGCCCCGGATCGTTTGCTAAAACTTCCCGAGCGGTCCAGGGCTTTGACAGCTGGTTACTAATTATCCAAGGAGCCGAGCGGTCCCCTTAGACCGCACGTCGCTCCCGGCCACTCTGCTTTAGGACCAAGCCCCTCGCTTGGCCTCGGACCCTTCAGAGCCGCGGTCTCTAGACAGGGCCAGGACCAAAGTCGCGCCGGGGACTCGGGCAGCCTCGGTCACCCGCCCGCAGTGGCAGTTTGGGATGGGATATGACCTTGCATTTGAATTTGCTACCTGGGGACTCGGCGGCTTACTCTCTAGCAAAACAGTCAGGGGAATTTCTATATATTTTTTTACTTCCGGAAATTATGTTGCTACAGTTCTGAGGTTTGAGGTTCTTCCCTCGCGGTTTCGCCCGTGGCGGCGGTTTCTCCCCAGCCGGGGTTAGGGTGCAGGAAGGTGAGAGGGTCTGAAGAGGAGCGGCGGGGGCGCCAGGGCGGCCCGGAGTTTGACCCGGGCCCGGCGGACCGACCGATCTCCCGCCGCCCACCGGCGGGCCCCCACCCCCACCCCCGACCCGGTACCTAGGCCCATCTGCCTGGCCGCAGGCGCCCGCCTTCCAGCTGGGATTTGGAAGGACGTGGGAAGCCCGAGGCGACCTGGGGCGCCCCTCGGCACCCAGCCCCGCGCCGGTCCGGACGCGGCAGAGATGTAATATAAACTGCAGCACGTGGAGTTCGGGTGTTATTAATTTATTTCTATAAATCATCAACAGAAAGATACACAAAAAGTCGTGATTAGGTTGAACGGAGAGGCGGGTTATTCATTGGTGAAGTTGTAAACGCGGCGGCTTCGAGGGGCAAGGAAAGCAGAACGCGGACGCGGGGCTGCTCGCTGCTGCCCGGGCACACGCACCGCGCTGCCGGGCCCTCCCAGCCGAGCCCCCGCGCCGCCCGGAGACCAGGCGCCGGACCCGGGCTGCCCCAGGGCCGCCGACGCCTTAGGCCCGGCCCGGAGCCCTGGACCTCAGCGCTCTTCGCTGAGCAGAGCCCCCAGCTCCAGGGGGGCGGGGAGCGAGGCTAGGGGGCCCGAGACCCCCGCTGAGGCGGGGGGACGCAGGACAGACCCCAAGGTTTCGCTCCCTTTCCCCAGCGGTTGCTGCCTTCCCTCCCCCAACTTCGGGAGTGGTCAGACTTGATTAAAGTAATTTTTCAAGAAATCGCTAGCGGTCCCCAGGTCACTGCACAGTCGGCTGCTGACCGCCAGACGCACGCACTCCCTTTTTGGCCCACCTCGCTCCCCTAAGGCGGAAAGAAAAGAACAGGGCAAGTCACTCAGGGGAGCGCCCGGCCGCTCTTTCCATCTGCTGGAAGAGAAAGGCGAGAAAAGCAGGCCGGGGGCTGCGCGCTGCCGGGTCCCCGGCCCCAGCTCTAGGCTGGCGCGCGGTGGAAAGTTGGAAAGTTGCTTGCTCCCAAGAGGCCGGGCCTGAGGCTTCTTAAAGAAGAATCACAGCGATCTGAGACGGGGTCCAGGACCTCTCTGCTTGTGGGCGGCCGAGGCATTGTTTGGAAAGGAGCGTGCTGGGCTGGCCAGGCGGGCGCCGAGGTCGGGCGCTTGACACCTGCGTCCTGAGCACAATGCCCGGGCGCGCTTCTCCCGTTCTGTGTGTTTATCGGGGTTGAGAACCCCTGATCACGGGCTGTATTTTCAAATTTCAAAACGTAACCGACTCTCGGGGCTCTTCCCGGTGAATGCATGAGAATTCTGTGGTCAGAGCTGTAAAGGTGTAACTACGCCATCTTATCCCCAACTCTGGTCCTTCAATGCCGGCTGAAAGATTTGCTATCGTTTACAAGGTTTTACTGGTTTGGTTTTTTTTTTTTTAAACCTTCCCAATTGTTAAGCGAATTCACTCTTAACAACGGAATCATTCGCTTTTAGAACATTACACAATTTCAGTTAGGTTTCTTAGACACACGAAATAAATACAAGTAAAAAAATGTTAAGCAAAACCAAAAAAGTCAAAGAATCTGTCGGAGCAGCATTAACTTTTAAAATCCAAATACTTTTTCTAACTTTTGAAGCTATTGTTGGTATCCGTTGAAGGTGTTTTTCTACCCTAAAAATATCTGTGGAAGTATTCACCAGAAATAAGATTTTAAATGAGCTCTGATGTTTACACGGGTATATGCAAAATGTTACATTACTTTCCTCTTACTCAGGGTGAATTCTCCATGCTTGAAACTGGGACGCAGTTCCTCATTTTTTGTTCCTGTTGTTAGTTCATTATTTTGTATTACATGGAAGTACCTTTATAAATACTTGAGAAATATATTAAGCTATATGTAATTAATCTTGTATTTCTCAAAACATGTCTATCAAAGCCTGTGTTTTCATAAATTTAATATTAAAGACTTACTAAAATGATCACAATTTTTCAAATGCTTACAAAAATCTCAGTTTAATTACTGGATTTTTAAAACTTCATTACACAAACATAACTTTAGTTGACATGTTATAGGTACCATTTAGAAAGAAATCGGGTATTTCATTTGCAACACTGTAAATGTTGCTTTTCAGCATTGTTTTTTATTACCTCTGAAAGTACTTTTTCCCTTCACTTTTTTTCATGTTCTGTCAGGCTATTATATACATCAACATACAGTAAAGGGATGCTGTTTTTTTTTTTTTTTAAGTTAAATATGTAGCTGCATTAAACAAATAGTATATGTGGATGTGTTGTTTCTTGAATATTTTTGTTCTATACTGTGCACTGTTTTCTTAATTTCTGTTTTCAATTATATCTCTCACTTTTAAGTCACCTATTCAATAAGCAAGAAAGGATATTGGCAAAGTTGAAAACATTTGGAATAAATTCAAAGGCACAAATACAGTGTTCTAAAGAAGCTTTTTGCATTACCTGTGTTTATGAGAAATGTAAGCTCTTATCCCAAGCTTAAAATTTATGAGAAAGATTAACTTCCAGACACTCTTACCCTGTCAGAGGAGAAATGTAAGAATACAGGAAAACATGGCATTTGGAATCATTCATATCTTATTCAGAAATTGAAATCATTCTCCCTCCTTTTGGTCTTATTTGAGAGGCGGGGCTGTGAAGATTTTTTTTTTTTTTTTTTTTTTTTTTTTATTTTTACTGGCCTCACCTCAGTGTAACGATTCTTCAGCCCCAGGGAGGAACATCATTTCTTAAAACTTTTCTGAAACTCTGAAAACTGTTTAATATTTGGCTAAGAAGTCCTCCTTGCTTCTCAGGAGGTGGACACAAAAGTTTTACTCCTGTTTTAGAAGACAAGAAACGGAGACACCCATTCTGAAAGAAAATAATGGGGGAGCAGTCCAGGTGAATTTAGAGATTCTGCCCTCTGTCATTGTCGGATCAGCCAGCCCAGCCCCAAGCTAATGGCACCTCCACTGTCCAGTGGGCCTCTTGCCGTTGTTTAAGTCTCTCACATCCTCACCTCATAACGATTCTTCAGCCCCAGGGAGGAACATCATTTCTTAAAACTTTTCTGAAACTCTGAAAACTGTTTAATATTTGGCTAAGAAGTCCTCCTTGCTTCTCAGGAGGTGGACACAAAAGTTTTACTCCTGTTTTAGAAGACAAGAAACGGAGACACCCATTCTGAAAGAAAATAATGGGGGAGCAGTCCAGGTGAATTTAGAGATTCTGCCCTCTGTCATTGTCGGATCAGCCAGCCCAGCCCCAAGCTAATGGCACCTCCACTGTCCAGTGGGCCTCTTGCCGTTGTTTAAGTCTCTCACATTCCAGGAAAGTGAAGGAAAGCAAAATAAAGCAGGAACTTCTCTTTCTGCTTCCCCAGAGAGAGTGCTGGGGTGCTTTCCCATTCCTGAAGCAGGGAAATCATCTTCCTCTTTGCCCTCCTAATCTCAGATGAAAGGGATGGAGTACACTATATAGGAGCTTTCATCTCCTCTTTTGTTTAGGTTCTATTCTGGCCTCTCCCCAGGATGTAACTGGGACAGGAGGAGAAACCGGGGAAGGTCAGAGTTTTACACAGAGTTTAGGTAAAACCTCTAGAACGAGGATATTTCTCCCCATCTCTTCTACCAGCATCCTAACCATCTGCTTATCTGTCTAGCGAGGACCCTTGGAGGGCTGCCAAAATGATCAAGGGCTACATGCAGCAACACAACATCCCCCAGAGGGAGGTGGTCGATGTCACCGGCCTGAACCAGTCACATCTCTCCCAGCATCTCAACAAGGGCACCCCTATGAAGACCCAGAAGCGCGCCGCCCTGTACACCTGGTACGTCCGAAAGCAACGGGAGATCCTCCGACGTAAGTGCTTTCATCCTGCCTCTGCCTCAACCAGGAGTGACCTTTGCCCTAACTCTGACCCCTGTGGAATGCCTCAGTTTCCTCTTCATCAACAAGGTCTGCATAGCGCTTGGCAAATATAAGGAAGCTGGCATGTGGATTTGGCCTTCAGCGCTGCTGTACAATGGGTTGACTTCTATCATTTTCTTCTCCCACGATCCCCTAGTACCCAGCCAGTTGCTTTGACAAGCCCTTCAGTGTGTGCAGTGCACCCTGAATATTTTGGTCCCTGCTTCCAACATCTTTCTCTTTGAAACCAAGTAGGTAACAGTGGAGTATTGTCCCCAAAGTAAGCCAAGCATCTCCCCTTGATACATGACCATGGATCAGTTTCCAAGGAAGACATTTAGTAGCAATCAATAATATTGATCACTATTATCGTTATTTTCCTCCTCTCTGAAAAGAGTATAAAAAATAGAAGGCATTTGTATATATAGATATATTCAGAACCCGATCCTATTATTTGCGGGGGGAGTGTTGGGTAGGGGGGGTGCAACTGAGTTCTGAAGCAACTTAACACGTTTGCTCACATTTACCAAAATCGGTGGAGTTTTGAGACCCCCAGCCGGGGAGCCTAGGAAGAAGTTGCTTCTGGCTAAAGCAGAGGGACCAGGAGTTAAAAGCATCTGCATTTGCAACTCTGACCCGTGAATTCTTGTCATTCCCATTGTCATTCCCCAATTCCCTTTCTGTCCCAAGATTTCTTCTACCCAATAACACAAAGATTTTTGTTTTGAAGTCTAGGGAAGTTTGAACTGCCTTTCAATGATAAGAGTATCAGTGACCTACTGTTTTTACTTTAGGAAGGTATACTTTTACATTACACTTTGATTATTTTGATCCAGCCTTTTTGCTAGGAAAAATTTATATGAGCTTTCACTCCTCCCACACACTATCCTCTGGGCGGTGGGCTTCTCTGTCAAGATATGAGTTTCTACCACTTTCTGGGCTGGGTTTTTTCCCCTCTCACTGGAGGGCTACTTTTTAAAATCACTCTTGTTTTCTGTCACACACTGACCTGAAGTGATTGTCTCAGTATTTATTGTCCCAATGTCTGTGGGCTGGAAAGGACTTCAACGTGGAGGGAAAGGGTTTAAGGGTTCATCTCATATTGTGGTGGTTTGCTCTTTTGTTGGAAGCATTAGATGGATAGGTTTAAAGAAGCAAAGTGAGAGCTCTTTGCTACTGAGGGGAAGAGGCCCCTTTTAAACTCTGGGATCATCCACCATCCATGGTGACTAGGTCTTTAAGAATTTGTGTGTCTGACATGAAGCAACTCCCTGTAATTCCTGGAAAGCCTAAGAAAAGTTTTCAGGAGCCATAGTCTCCAAAGGCCAGAGAACCCTTGGGACACGTCCTCACTCCAATACAAGCCTCAGGCAGCATCTCCAGTTTGAGCTTCCTCTCTGCGTGCCATGGGATTTCCCTCAGAAAGGAGGAGGACAGCCGGAAGCTTCTAAAAAGACAAAAGTCCCAAAAAGTTTCTCAAGATGCTTGAGAATGACATTTTGCAAAAATGTATGACAGTCTCTGCAAAGGATTTTAAAATTATTATTATTGTTTTAAAGTCCCATGAGACATAAAGCTTATGAAGCATCCCTTCATTCTGTAAATATTATATGAGCACCTATGAGGTGCCAAGCACTTGCTGGGCTGTGAGATACACACGTCCTTTTCTCCAGGGTTTTCTCCAGGGATTTACAACCTAATGAGGGAGATGAGATGTTTGAAAAAATAATGACAGCTGCTTTCTAAGAGTTGTTATAAAAGTATACACAAGGGGCAGCAGAGGAATTGCTAAATTGCCTAGAGACATCACGGAGGGCTTCCTAGAGGAGGCGACATTTCAACCAATTCTTAAAGGATGAATATAAGACATGCACGCATGCGATAAAATATAGGAAGTGAGATGAATAAAAGAGGGACACAAGTGAACGTGGCAAATGGTAAGAGAGAGTGGGGAAGATAAAAAAAGATGACACATGATACATTTTCTTGAGAAACTAAAAATAATAAATGGTAATATTCATGAACCCACCTATGCAGATAGAATCTCCTTGTCCAGGCTGGCTCCTGAGCCTGTAAAGAGGTTGCCGAAGCCAACTGCTTCAAGTTAATTTTTATGGGCAATGAACATTTTCTGTGCCCCTCCCCCAGTTAATCTGGAAGGCAGTGGGGGAGAGTTCGTGGTGGATGGAGGACATGGGGGAGTCTCGTTCTTCAAAACAGGCAGCCAGCAGCCAGAGGCAGCCCCCACTGCATGGGCAACTGCGGGCGTGTCTCGCACCCACCACAGGCAGGACTTCAGGAGTCAGTTCAGTTACCTCCACCCAAGGCTGATTGGAAGGTTTTGTGGGTGTGTTGTTTGGGTTTTGTTTCAAGCGAGAGGCGATGCCTATGGTGCATCACCATGCATATGCATGGTGATGCAATGGTTATGAGTTTAGCGTCTACAGGCTGGGTTCACGTCCTGGCTCCCGCCCCAAGCCCATGAAACTTTAACTGGTCTGAACCTTAATTTCTTCATCTGTAAAATGGGGATAACAATACTTCTTGCACAGAGAGGTGTGAGAATTAGATGAAGGCATGCATTTGGAGGACTTTGTATAATACCTCACTGTAGAAATGGTTCAGTAAATGTTCCCTGTGATGACATCTGTTCACATCAAATGAGGAACCTCATACTGATCCTGGGTCCTTGGGATCACCCATACTGGCTTTGGCTATTATTCATGGTAACTCCACAGGGCCACAGGGAGGAGAGGAGTCACTGAGACAGACACCCACTGAGCAGGGGACTTCCTTCTCCCACTATGATCCTCCCCAAGGTCACTCTACTTAGATGGCTGCTATGAAGACCAAATAATACAGGAAGTGTAAAAGCACTTTGAAAAGTATAACTTCCGTAGGAACTTGGGTGATCATCATTATCATCACCGTTATCCTGACTAGGGGCAGATGTTCTAAAAGACTATTTAGTGCCCATAGGTCTTCACCCAGTCCCATTCCACAGGCGGGGAAGCTGAGGGACCAGGAATTAAGGAACTTGGTTGGGGCCCTACATTATTTGATTGAGTCAGTGACTTCCTGCCAGTAAATTTGGCAGAGACATTCTCAGGTATCTAAAGGAGTTGTTGGGAACCAGTGAAAACAGAGCCCTAAGTGGCCTGAGAAGCATCCAAAGCGGGCGGGGCCCAAATCAAAGGTCCCAGTGACACGTTCAGTCCATCTACCTGGGAGACAGCTCGTTAACTTGGCCGATCGGCAACTGGTTAAACAAAGGCCAACACCACCTGCGTCTGGGGTACAGGCTTGTTAGGGGCCCACTGCTCCTTGTGATGGACCAAAATGGAAGTGGATCCTTAGATGGTAGTAAGTTTCGCATTGCTGGAGGTGGATGGGCTGGAAGGCCACGTGGTAGGGTGTTGTGGACGGGATTCAAGCACTAAGTAGTGGCCTGACTTTGGACCCTGAGGATTTTCTGAGACCTGTGGGGATGACTCCAGGAAACAAGAAAGAAAAACATCAAGGTCCAGAACCCAGGAACCAGGAGTTAAGCGATGAATCTGTTACGTGTCCTTGTTCAGCAGAGT